GTAGTTCATCACATACAGTTATTACATAAACCTGTGTAACCCAAAAAACTGACAAGTAATGTACAGAAATTAATGGATATAATTCAGGAAGTGAAGGGAACAGACTATGGAAATATGTTACCACAATGATTCTCAAATACTGGTGTGGATCAGAGTCATCTGGAAAGCTTGGTAAATATACAATACTCACATCATCTTCCATATTAAAAGATGACTAGTTAAATTTACATATACATATAAGCATGTATGTATATGTCTAAGAAAGAGTGTGTCATCATAATATATGCCTTATAAAACATAGAAAACTTTCTGATCTTCATTAAAGGTCTTCTGAGAGGAATAAATGCATGTAAGGGAAGTTTCCTGGGCTCCACAATAAAGGATATAATGGATAAAATATGAAGAAGGTAACAAACAGCTAACCGCATGAATAGCCTGAAGTAAATTGAAGGCATTGAACTAACTGGACGTGAGTGGTAGATAGGAAAGACCCTTCTGTGAGCAGATGTTACATGCTACGGATTCAGTGAAAACACTGTCTGCCTTGGAATTCTATGATGATGATCTTGGGAGGAGAAGACTGCTCATGTAGTACATCAGTGACGGGGAGGGAGTTAGAGTTTAAGACAGAGGAAAGAAAATAAGAATCAGTACAACGTACTGCCATGAAAAGATGAGAGAAACCACAAGCAGGTTGATGACAGCTAAGCTCCAGCTTTGAAAGTAACTAGCTTTATGTTTCTAGGCAATTATTTAATCTATCTGAGCCTTCATGTGTAAAAGGGAAATAATCCTTAACTCATGGTTACTGGGAGGAGACGAAATATATATATAAGTGACTTGGAGTAAAGTGCTAAAAATCTAATAGCTACAATTGTGGAAGAATTTCTTACCAAAAATGGGGATATGTAGGTAAGTTAAATACTCTGAAGTCCTTAAAATAGAGCCTGTTGGAACATCACAAGGCAGAAACAGAAAAATCCTTTTTTTTCCCTACCCCATATGATCTTTCAGCAACTTTCATCTAGTTAGGCTGCTAAGTAATCCTTACAACAGTCCTTTTCTATCTCTACGACCAATGTCCTTTTTAAAACCAGAATCACCTCTTACCCAGACCACTGAAAAAGCCTCCTAGCCCAGTCTCCCCAATTAAGTTCTCATACCCTCTAAACCAACCACTTGTCTGTTAGTTTGTCGTACTGTGGCGGCTTGGGTGTTGCTATGATGCTGGGAAGTATGCCGCTGGTTTTTCAAATACCAGCAGGGTTACCTGTGGTGGACAGTTTTCAGTGAAGCTTCCAGACTACGACAGACCAGGAAGCAGGACCTGGAGGTCTACTTCT